ACTCCACCCCACGCGCCTATCCCGTTGACATCCTCTCTTGATAGATGGAAATATAATAAAAATAAAACAAAATATAAAAAAAGAAAAAAAGACTTACTCCGAGTCCGGACGTGACAATTTAGCCTACTAAAATCGGTTTCAAAATAAAACTTCAAAATAAAATTTCGATCTTAACTTCTGCAGTAAAAATACATTATAATGTATTCTGTTTCTCACGGATTGTCGTTCCATTTGTCTGTCTGTGTTAGATATTGCATAAAGTATTCAATACATGAGCACATATTCATAACTTATATAGGACCTTTATATCTGTAAGTTTGTACTTTAAGTTATTTGTATTTTACCATATACATTGCTTTTAACACAAATTCAATTTTTTTACTTGGTTTTTCGCAAATTCAATTCAATTTTTTGAAGATGATTTTAATAATAAAATATTTTATTTTTGGACTCTGCTTTTCTCGTCAATGACGAAATAATTAAACACACTTGACAATAAGACGTTAAAGATTTAGTAATTTTATATAATTTTATTTGTAATGTTAAATTTATTGTGTTCAAACTGACTATGACTTAATATTTTTAATATATTGTTTTTTAATATATATTTAATATATCTTTCTTTCTACTTTTTAAATATTATTTTTCGTATATGGACTGAAAACTTATTGTTAGTACAGTCGAAACGTTTCCTATTAATTTATATATAGATAAGAAACTAAACTAAACTTCCAATAAGGACGCTCGAATTTTAAATGAAAAATAAAACAAGTTGTGTGTGAGATATCCACTCAATTTTTTTTTTTATTTGAAAGAATATTTTATGGCATTAAGTATGGAATATAACGTCGCTCAAAGGTCCGCCGCGGTTTCGCTTGGTGACACGTATTCGGGCGGTCCAATTTTCGATGACTTTCTCGCATCAATCTGGCTGAATTTGCTGGATTGCGTTTGTTATGTTGACTTTGAGAGCATCAATTGTTTGCGGTTTATTCGTATAGACCTGCGATTTAAGATAGCCCCAAAGGAAGAAGTCTAAAGGAGTTAAATCGCACGATTTCGGTGGCCAGTTCACGTCGCCGCCGCGCGAGATAATCATGCCCTTAAATCGCTCGTTCAGAATGTCCGTCATGGCATGCCGTGTGTGGCATGTAGCGCCATCCTGTTGGAACCACATGTTATCGGTATTCATATCATCCATTTTAGGCCACAAGAAGATGCTTATCATCGATCTGTAGCGCTCGCCGTTGATGGTTATGGTAACGCCTGCTTTGTTTTGAAAGAAGTACGGATCGATGATTCCGCCAGACCAAAATCCGCATCAAACAGTGATTTTCTCGGGATGCATTTGGAGCTGGTGTATCTCGCGTGGATTGGTATCGTCCCAAATTCGATAATTTTGCTTGTTCACATATCCATTCATCCAAAAATGAGCCTCATCGCTCAAGATAATTTGGCGAAATTTGGGTTACCTTTCAACTGCTCCAGAACCCAATCAACGAACACACGGCGTTGTCTATGGTCGTTTAGTTAAGTTCCTGGGTCAATTGAATTTTATAGGGGTGGAGACCCAAGTCCCGACGCAAAATTCGCCAAGTTGAAGTCGCAGAAAGGCCAAGTTCTTGAACGATGAGAAATTGATCGCCTCGGATTTTCCCGTACACTCTCACGCACAGCAGCGATGTTTTCAGCAGACCTTGCGTTTCGGCGACATACTAGTGTTGGCTGATTATTTATCGAACCGGTTGACTCGAATTTGGCCACCAAACGTCGAATAATCGACTCGGCAGGATGGTTGTGGCGAGGATAACGTAATGCGTGGAACGTTTCTCGAACGGATCACTGATTTTGATAATAAAATTTTATGATTTGCACACGTTTCTCAACACTATGACCTTCCATGGTGATTTACCACACACTACTAAACAATTCACAACAAATTTGATCACTTTAACAACATGGCTACTATGATCTATCAAATTTCGAGTTCCTATTGAAAGACCCTATATTTTAATTCTTAATGTATGTTGTAATAAAGTTAGTTTATTTTTAAAGATCCAATAAACATTGCTCGTATTTTTTGACCTTTCTAATTACTGTTTTTTGCTTAGCAATCGTAAGCTAAATATTTTACATATTTTAATCTATGTCTTCTATATATTGTGTAATTATTTATTCATTAGTTTTAATGAATAAATAACTATTAAATCTTTGATGAAAAAAAAAAGCATATGAATAGCAGATGAATATGCTATTCATCTGCTATTCATATGCTTTTTTTTTTTTTCTTTGATTGTTCGAATCAAATTTTTAACTTGTAACTTTTCAATTATTTATTTTTTTATTAACTTAACTTCTAATTTAATTAATTTTATTATAAATTGACTTATCTTAAATAAGTTAAATTTTCATGACAATTAATTTTAATTTAACTTAGTTTAAAAAAAAAGTTATCTTATCCAATTCTGAATAAGATTCGTAATGGTATATGCTATAAATATACGGTAATAATATTTTGTATACGTTTTGTCTTTTATACAATAAAATTATTTAAATGTTCGTGGTATTGTGGAATATCTTGAAAAGTTAGCAAGAATATTGAAATTTAAATATGTCATATTGATGCTTAAGTTTTAATGTATTTCTTATCCTGAACTTTTTATTAACATTATTGTATTTAGAAGGTCAAAACCTATAAAAAATGCTATTTCTTTTATTTACATCTTTGTAAGCAAAAATTGGCCTCTTTTTAATTTAGTAACTTCTTTTCAATCTTCTTTCGATTTTTTTACTGTTTCTCATTTATGTTTGAATGATCGACGGTCAACGATCGTTATCTTTTACATTTGTATAGTTCTAGTCGTGTCACTAGTTTGCATAAAATTATCAATTGCTACTTGACAATGTGTGAAGAATAATGAAATAGGTATTAATTTTTTTTATTTGTAGTTTTAATAATAATAGGTTGGAGGTATTAATTTTTTATTTGTAGTTTTAATAATAATAGGTTGGAGGTATTAATTTTTTTTATTTGTAGTTTTAATAACTTTTTTATTCTCAGATTTTAAGCCAACTTCATTCTATTTTAGGAAATAGATATAATAACTATGGTTGATCGAGACTTTCGATGATGCAATTGCAATTGGCCATTTGCTTTCCTTAAAAAGCATATTGTTGTTTGAGAACAATTATATCGTCTAATAACTAATAGCACATTATGCAACTGCATTGAATTAATCCAATAAAAGGATTGCTTTATGTTTATCAGAGGAATGTCTCTGTACACTTTCCTTTGTTATTAATTTTATATTCTCACGAAATTTGTTAAATTTTTCTGAGCGTACAACATATTGATAATTGAATAATTTAATGATTTAATTGTCCCGTTACGAATCTTATCATCCTGTATTATTCAACTTTGAAAATGACTTAGTGATAGGTTGAAATGTTTGTATATATATATATATATATATACTTTTGTGGATATATATATATATATATCCACAAGAGAGTTTAAAACTTTCGCAGTTTTAACAATTAGCATTGATTCGTAACCCTTCTTCTTTTATTTTTAGTTGTTTTATTCAACTAAACTTGTATTATTTTATTTCATTTTATAAGTAAAATGCATTGTAATTATGAAATAATTATCAGCTATAATTTTTAAGAAAATTAATTTAGCCGTAAGAGAATTATTGATATTTATTACACAGTACAATACACATTCCTTCCTGTGAAAAAATCAAAGAGATTCTGAAAGTAGATGTAAAAAAAATACCCGTGTCTCAGTGTTTTAACAGATCATTAACATTTCTTAACATTTTGCAGCCATTTACCGTATTTGCTTTATATTGGCTTTTTACAATTATTTTAAATTATATAATCATTTTTTTAAATAATTAATTGATGTTTTTGCATGTGAAATTATGTGATGAGTCCGAATACAAAAAAAAACAACTGAGAATTTTTTTTCATATATTTTCAAATTTTTGAACAATAATAATAATAATACAATTATTATAAGAATTAAGAAGAATAATTATTATAAGAATCTTGATTGTTTGATTTGCCGTTTGTATGATTTTTATATCACGAATAGACCAACATTATTTATCAAGCTTATGTCTGATATTTTTTCTTTTGAAGCTTTTCTCAATGATCGCAATATCTAGATAAAAGCGTTCACCATGTTCATTACTGAATTCACCCAAATTTGGTGGAAAAAATCAAAATGATTGTGAAGAAAGTGTATTTTGAGTGACATGTTAATTTTCATTGCATGAAAAAACCAAAATCATTTCAGCAACAATTTTTTTGTAATTGTCGGCTTTTTTATTGCCCAGAAAATTTTCGATGACTAGTAAATTTTCCATTCCATGCTCGTTTTTCCACTATATTCAATAATTTACGGATTTATTTTCATTTTTTATCAATTTTGATATATCTGGACTATTAAATACAATAAGTGAATAAAATTAACTGAATAAAAATTTAAAATAAATGAACTGATAAAAGCAATGTTGAAATCAATTTACCTACTTCGATTTTTACTACGAACAATTTTAGAAATATTGTGTGCAATAACTGAAAAGCTTTGCCAGAAGGATCAAGTGCTCGAACAAAATTATAAATGAGACAGTTTGTGAAGCGGCAAAATTATTTTCCTTGGATCAATCAATGATACGTGATCAACAATGTCGAAGTAAGTCAATACCGAGACACAGGTATACTTTTCTAACATCTACTTTCAGAATCTCTTTAAGTTTTTCATGGAAAGAACCTGTGCTATACAGTATTATAAAAAGATATGATTTGATGATACTTAAAAAATGTTAACGACTTGATCTGGTAAAACACCAAAACACGAGTATTTTTTTTTACATTTACTTTTTTTACATTTACTTGAGAATCTTTTTGATTTTTTATGAGAAAAAAATCGATTTTTGTTGTATTGTATTATAGAATATGATTTTGACATCATGCTAAAATTGTAATTACAGGTATTTGAACAATATCAAAACAATGTCAGCAATAGTACAGGACGAATTAGTGAAACCTATTGACAGAGCGGCGTGGCATGTGGAACACGTATTGAAATTTCCAAACTCGAGACATTTACGATATCATGGACATGATATGTCATGGATACATTATTACGCTACATATCTATGCTTAGGTATAGGTTTCGTTTTGTTATTATATGTCTATTATATATTGTATAACAAAATTATTAGTCCTTTTATAAAAATGACATGCCTAAGTAACTTAAAACAATGGATAAATAATTTGAAACGAAAACTCGATTAAATATAAATGTACGAAACAATGAAAAAAAAATTGATCATATGCGATTAAGAGAAAATTTCTTTGCATTATTTTTATAATTTGTGTATGTATAACAATATATATATAACAAATAAATGAATAATATATTGGCAGAGAAATCTGTATCTTTTATTTATACTTTTCCAGAAAATAAAATGGCTATGTTTACACAGTGCACTTAATCCGCGACCTATAAGATAGATGTCTTTGTTTAATCTGTAGGTTAAGCGCATAGTATAAACATATTCTATGTCTAAAATGCAGACATAAAATGTCCTCAAGGAGCATCATTGAGATGTTTTTTTAGATATCATAAAGATGTCCTCAAGACACAAGTTTGTAGAGAATTGGTTCATTCATCAAAAGTTACGCCTTCTATCTGCTTTTTTTAGTTGAGACTCCTGCACCGAGAAGAAAGAGCGTATTGCATTAATTGGATTTTTGTAAAAAAGTTAAGTCTTAAGGCCGACATGTTGAATGTATTCGAGACAAGGCAATAAAATTTTCTTCCTATATAAAATCGAGAAGCAATTATTGTATCAAAACAATGTTTGTACAATAAAACGTTTTATGTCTCCTGTTTTTTACATGCAGTTTGGATATGTGTAATTATTATATTTGTTTAATTACACTTTTTAGATATTTAAAATAATTTTTCAAACATTTGAAAAATTTTAAAGAACATTTTTTTAAATTTAGGTATTCAGTGTATTACAATATAAAATATTATATAAAAAAACAAAAAATTAATAGGAGGATATTATAGTATTTTATAGTAAATATAATATTATAGTATTTTATTTAAGAGGGAAGAATCGATAAGTCTATTTTTTTTACTCCTAATCGATTTTTATTAAATAATTTTTAGCCACAGCAGTCTAAAGATTTAGAATTCTCGTACAAACAACAAGAGATCCGGGTTCGATTCTCGATCGAGATAATATTTTTCGCAATAAATTTATTTACAATTTTTCAGTACATTAACATTTTTCTAATATGAGCATCAAAATATTAAAAATTGCTTTTCAATTTGATTTTATTATAATATTGATATTATTGATATTATTAATATAATAATACCTAGTAGTCTAATTGCGTCCGTTTATAAGTCCGGAGAACTAATTCGACTCGCAGTTCGAATGACTATAAATATGGTATTATATATATATATATATATATATATGCAAATATGTGTATATACAATATGTTACATCCAAGCGTTTGGTTCGCGGAGATGTTCTCGCAAACGCGTTCATGTGTTCGCAGCTTGCAGAAATGAACAACATGAAAATTATAAAAAGAACGCACGCACGCACGCACGCACGCACGTGACTTTCAGGATTTTACAAGTGGCGATCTACGGTGTCGACACAGGCGTAACACTGCCCTCCTTCTCTTAATTTGTCGTACCAACAAGTGTGGTTTTCCCAAAAAACGTTGGCCTTCTTGGAATTTGGAACTCCCGACCAGTTTCTTGCTCCCTACTGTACTGCTTCCCAGAGTCTCTGGGTCCTCCTAAGGCTCGATCCTCCGGCCTACGCTTAAAGCCTTCTAGTCTTTCTCCCTTCCAAGCAGGACCCCTCTTCAGTTCCTCCCCAGAAGGGAGCCTCCGTAGGAATCCACTTGGATATCCCCTCGTCTTTGTGAAGGGAACTCCAGGATCTTGTTGCCTCTTCTCTTGAAGTCTTGTGCTCATATTACTTTCTTCTTCGGAAAGGGGAGAGGGAGGGGAGAGGGAAAATTCTATTTTGATTTTATCGCAGTACCTCTGCCTCCAATCTCTACTTCGGCATTCGCCCTCCGTCCTGTGGAAAAATCTCAATTCAAAAACCGCAGGAGAGACAGTCTTCTTAAAAAAAAATAATAATAATATAGGACGCACGATTGAAGCGCGTTCGTTTGACCTCCGACTTCTTCATCTTCTACGAAGATGAGTCCGCTGGCACCCAAAACACACGATTTCACCGAAGCCCCCGGGGAGACCTTCTTCGTTCGAGACGCGAAATCGCGTCATGTGCCGCGCAAACGTGAATGCTGCAACTGCGAAAGAAAAATAACTCGCGCAACTTACATCATAAGATTACAAATTGTGTTATTCTTTTCAAGTAATAGGGCTCTAATTTGTTAATTTTTATTTTTTAACTCGTTTTTCCTAAACGCCTTTCTAAATAAGGCGCCAGCATATCTAAATGTATTAGGTGTACAACTTTGCTTCCACCGTTTTCCTATAGATGGCTTTAGCGGTAAGTGGTGGTCGAAATAAATAGATCATAGACGTCATACAATAAACTTGGGCATCTGTCAACATAACTCCATAGAAACATTAGTCGATTTGTGTCTGCATCATAAAGTTATTCTCGATTGAAAATGTCAGTTTACGAACCAAATTCTCGTCATTTGCGGGAGGTTTTAATTTTTTGCTTCAATATGAAGAAATCTGCGGCTGAGGCTCATCGAATGCTCTCAAATACTTATGGTGAGGCCGCAATTAGTGAAAGAACGTGTCGTGAGTGATTTCAACGCTTCAAGAACGGTGATTTTGACATTGAAGACCGACATAGCAGTGGAAGAGAGAAGGTTTTCGAAGATGCAGAATTGGAGGCATTACTTGAGCAAGACTTGTGTCAAAATCAAGAAGAATTGGCACGATCATTGGGAGTAATTCAACAAGCCATTTCAAAACGCCTCAAAGCCATGGGAATGATTCAGAAGCAAGGAAATTGGGTGCCGTACGAATTGAAACCGAGAGAACGTTGAATGGCGTTTGTTTGCTTGTGAACAGCTGCTTGAAAGGCAAAGACAGAAGGGATTTCTGCATCGCATTGTGACAGAGGACGAAAAATAGGTTCATTACGATAATCCCAAGCGCAGAAAATCATGGCGAGTTCCCGGCCATGCTTCCACGTCGATGGCCAAACCGAATATTCACGGCTCCAAGGTCATGCTCTGTATTTGATGGGACCAGCTCGGCGTAGTGTATTATGAACTGTTAAAACCGACTGAAATAATCACAGGCGATCGGTATCGAACGCAATTGATGTGTTTGAGCCGAGCATTGAAAGACAAACGATCGCAATACGAGAGACACGATAAAGTGCAGCATGACAATGCTCGACCCCATGTTGCGAAAGTGGTCAAGGCATACTTGGAAACGTTGAAATGGGAAGTCCTACCCCACCCGCCGTATTCTCCAGACGTTGCTCTGACTATCACTTGTTTCGATCAATGGCACACGGCCTGGCTGACCAGCACTTCCGATCTTATGAAGAAGTAAAAAATTGGATCGATTCGTGGATAGCCTCAAAAGATGACCAGTTTTTTCGACGCGGGATTCGTACGCTACCCGAAAGATGAGAGAAAGTAGTGGACAAGCGATGGACAATACTTTGAATCATAAATGTATAACCAGTTTTTTACAATAAAGTCTCGAATTTCGGAAAAAAAAACGGCGGAAGCAAAGTTGTACACCTAATACAACTTTATTTTTATGCTTATTCGACTTTTTTTTATGCTTACGAATATACTACTTAATTTTTTTACTATGTAATATGAACCTTCCCAATTATTCTACAACTTCGAAGTTTTCTTTTTCGAGGATTGTAGCCAAACTTTTTGTCCTTTCTTGAAATAAATTTGTCTGACTTTTCGATCGTACTAGGATTTCGTTTGTGAAGATTTGATATTTATCCGTTCTCTTACACTTGTATGAATCTCTTCCAACTTCCTCTTCACCTTTCCTACGTAGCCTTCGAGAAAACTCACCTTCTCAGTTTCAGGAGGGCTGCCGCGTAACAAGTCAATTGGCAGATGAAGATCCTGAGCAGAGTTCTGCTGAGGTCATTCCAGTTGTTTCGTGCTTGGAAGATCGATACGCCAACAGATATAGTGGAATCCATCGATCCCAGTCCTTCTGATTCTCAGAAACAAACTTCGACAAATAATTAAAATGGTATGATGCTATCGTTCCACTTATCCGTCTGTCTGAGGATGTAAAGGGGTCGTTTTTGTCTTCTTAATTATTAAGTGTGATAGTTCTCGAAAGATTCTCGATTCAAAATTCCTTCCTTGGACCTCTAGAGAAATTTTGTATCTTGAAATAATTTGATTTAGAAAGATTTCTGCGCTAGTTTTAGATCTTATATTCTTTAAGGGAAAATGGCTTCCACCCATTTAGTAAAACAATCGACAACAACAAATAAATACTTATTTCCGGAAGAAGTTATTGGCAGAGGCTCAAGTATATCCATCTGAATTCTTTCAAATGGGACTCCTATATTATACGTCTGTAAAAGAGATTTTCCTTTTCCAGACGAACTTCTAGCTAAGCAAACTTGATATGTTTTGCACCATTCCTTCACATGGTTTACATGTTACACAATGAAATTGCTTCCGCACTTTATCGAGCATCTTTTTGATGCCAAAATGCTCTCCTGTGGAGGAATTGTGTAACTCCTCTAAAATCTGCGTTACGAGCTTCCTAGATACAATTAACTGGAGAATTTTTCTTCAAGTTAGAAGCTTTTCACTTCTTGTAGAGTATACCATCTTTGACTTCAAGAGAATAGGATCAGTACACTTTGGCGAAGATCCTTTGCTGCTACTTCTTGCTATAAAGGGCGCTCTTCCCCTGCTTCCTTCTTAAAAAGAAACAGATAAATGCAAGGATTTCCTATTTGTTCTTTACACTAATTCTCATAATTATCTTCAAGTAGAATAATTCTTTCCACACAGCTTTCCTGTTTCGTAACTTCCTTTAATTCTACATTTGCATAATAATAACGGCACTGATCGTGCATGGCCGCCTCGATAACTCATCCGCATTCTTATAAGAAAGACCTTGCGATGAATATATTCAAAATTATATTGCTGAAGTCTTTCCATCCACCGCGCTAATTGGTCCTCAAGATCTTTAAAAGACATTAATCATTTGAGCGAGATATGATCTGTACATATCAAAAATTTTTGTCCATACAAATAGTGATGGAAAGATTTTATTGATTAATTGAGTATAGCTAGAAATTCACGATGTATCGCACAATAGTTTTTTCAAGATTTATTCAAGATTCGACTGCAATACTTTTTTTGCCGTTTTGTTTCTGTGATAAGATTCTGCCCCAATTCTTTGATTTGATGCACCAATGTCAAGAATATACTCTCCTTCTATTTTAGAAAAAGCCAAAATTGGAGAGGAAATCAAGACCTACTTTAATTCATCAAACGAATCCTAATGCTCTTCCTTCCAAATAAATCTTGCCTCGTTTTCCGTTAACATAAAGCGTGTTGTGACGCTTGTCATCTGTTACCTTGTCTGGAAGACTCGTTCGCCAAAGTGGCGTGTAATAACAATGACTCTCTTTGTTGTAACGATTCGAACTTTTATTGTTGAGTCGAATTTAGATACATTCAAAGCGGGCGATAGGCGAAGCTTATAGACCGATAACTTGTGCATTCCTTAAGCTGTGTGCACTGATATTGGGTTGTCCGGAAAGTTGTCCATGCTGATTTTTGGTAGGTGGCGTAAGGATAAGTCTGAATATATCAGAACGATTGAAAACAAATAACATGCGTACATATCGTAAAAGATGGACTTCAGGCATACTTGGAAAAAAATTTGGTTGCGATACGTTAATTTTTGTCAGTTTTATATGCCTTTGAATATGAAAGAAAACAAAGTGCATTTTAAGCATTTAATGTTTTTCTTTTACCGGAAAGATAAAAATGCCACACAAGCGGCAAACAAGATATGCGCTGTTTATGGCGAAGGTGCTGTAGCTGAAAGAACTGTGCGGAAGTGGTTTGCTAGGTTTAAAGCTGGTGATTTCAATCTTGAAGATCAAGAACGCCCGAGTAGGCCCTCCACCACAGATGAAGATCAGATTAAAACACTGATCGAGAATAACCCACGCTATACGACACGTAAATTAGCATGAATATGTTAAAATCCACCATCCACAAGCATTTTGTGAAGCTTGGGTACATAAACTGTTTTGATGTATGGATTCCTCACGATTTAATGGAGAAAAATCTGATGGATCGCATTTTCATTTGCGACTCGCTCTATATGCAATGAGGAAACACCATTTTTGAAGCAAGTAATGACGGGGGATGAAAAATGGATCATTTACCATAATGTTGAGCGAAAAAGATCTTGGGGAAAGCGGAATGAACCACTCCAAAAGCCGGTCTTTATCCAAAGAAGATCATGCTCTGTGTCTGGTGAGATTAGAAAGGGATCCTGTATTATGAGCTTTTACCAAACAACGAGACAATAAATTCAGAGAAGTATTGTTCCCAATTAGACGAATTGAAGACAGCAATGATTGAACAAAAACGTCCAGAAATAGCGAATCGGAAAAGTGTCGTGTTTCATCAGGACAATGCGCGGCTTCATGTGTCTTTGATAACTCGACAAAAGTTGTTGGAGCTCGGTTGGGATGTCTATCCCATATTTACCAGACCTCGCGCTCTCTGATTTCTACCTATTTCGATCATTACAAAATTCCCTTAATAGAAAAAGCTTCAACTCTTTGGTCGAGATAAAAAATCACTTAGAAAAGTTTTTCGCTGAAAAATCTGAGAGATTCTGGAAGGATGGAATTTTCAAGTTGCCTGAAAGATAGAGAAAGGTCGTAGAACAGAATGGCACCTATATAATTTAATAAATGTATACTAAAATTTAAATCTTTTGCGTTTCAATTTTCCTTCAAAATCGGCACGAACTTTCCGGACAACCCAATAATTCGCACTTGATTCGATATCGAGTGGTTTCACAGGAAGAAAGTATATTACGCGCAGTAATGAGACTGGCAAATCTCGCCGGAAACTCAGGCAATTCGCGCACACTACTGCCTTCGCGTATACCGACAATGTTGAGTGAAAATACAGCGGTAATTCAGACAGAACGTCGGTGTTCACACGTCGGCTTTGGGATAAGAAGCGCTACAATGAATAGATGACCCATATTGATCGGAATCGGAATCGGGAAACAAACTTTCTCGCACGCGGAATATGTGCGCGATCGTCACCTTTTCAAATGTCACGCAAGGGGGGATCGCGTGCCATCTGAGAAAAATAACGTGATTAGAACGAGATACACGCATGTTGTGAACGATGACGACTCGGTATCTATGAGCGTCTATTTACTTATCGCCGAAAATACAAATCAACAATTATTCCGGAACAAAGTGGTTTTGCCAAAAATAAAAATCTTTTCACAAATTTACGATAATAAGAACAAAACCCGAGAAAGCTTCTTAAATGTTTTTTGTTTTATGGAATCGACACAAGCAATTATTTTTTCCGGATCCGTACTAATGTCTCCTGCTGATATCACATAATCCAAATATTTAATTTCTTTGCTAAAAAAACACATTAATTTTTAAATTTACTTCTCTTAAACGTTGAAAAATCTGTTTAACAGCATTTCTTCAAAAGTTTTCCCAAAAATAATTACATTATCGAGGTAAACGAAGCAAATTTTATAGAGATGTTCTTTTAATATTTGTTCTATTACTCAAATATTACAGGAGTATTACACAGATCAAAAGGCATAAATTGTCACTAACCATTGCCGATCAAAAAGGCCGTTATCTCCCTATCTTATAGGTGAATTTTTGCTAATATCTTCTTTTTAAGTCTAAAGTAGTAAACCAAATGTTACCTGATAACTGATCGAGAATATCATCAATTTAAAGTAAACGGTAAGAATTTCTTATATTGTAGTTAGCATTTATTTTCCGAAAATCCACACAAAATCTTATAGTCTTTTTTTTTTACCAAAATCACTGATGATGTCCATGGACTAGTTTCCTCGATAAATCCTTAGTCTTTCATATCCTTAATAATTTCATTCATTCTTTTTTCGTAACGGAATACAGCGAGGAGATTGCTTTATGAAAGGAGAATCCTTTATCTTAATCACATGTTTGCCAACTTCCTGCAATTCTCTGCAATTTCCTGCAATGACTTTGTTAGAAAATATATCGCGAAATTCATTCAAAAAAATGATAAAGCTTTCTTTTTCGAGTTCATCTAAGTATTAAGAACTTCCTTCGTATAAGGATATCAAGTTCGACGGAAATGTCGTAACGCTTTTAATGCGAGAACAATTGAATTCAACATTGCTCTCGGTAATTGAATTGAGAAAAATAAAATCAAAAATCTTCTGTAAACCGAACAGTCTAAGAAAATCAACACCTAGAATGCAGTTAATATTTATTTCGGCAATTAACATCGGGAGTTCAAAATATTTCGCAAGTCGAACCTTTAAAGTTTTATATTTAATTAAATATAATTTGTTCTCCCGTAGGATATTTAATTGCGGTTATCTATTTTAATTTTTGATTTATCCGATTCAACAAAATTACTGTTTATAATAGAAACATCGGAGCCCATATCAATCTTAATAATAAAAGTTTATCGTTTACTTCGCCTTTGCCTTGAACAAAAATCTCTTAAATCATTTTTAATTTTATTCATTCTGAAAGAACATTGATTAATATCACAGTTGATCAACATGATAATGAACAGAAAGAACATTGTTTATTTGTAATACTACAAGAACATATCCTGAAAAAATATTGATTAGTACAATGATTATCACAACAATTATTCGAACATTGTTCATTTTTTGTATTACTAAAACAATTTAAATTTTTTACAATTTTTATTACAATTTTTGTATTACTAAAACAATTTAAATTATTTATTAAGCAAGTTTTTTTATTCGAGGTATTTTCTATTCCAGTCGAGCTTCCCCCTTAGAGCTCGATTATTCCTGATTTTCCATTTTGCCGAGACATTCCTAACAGAAATGGTCCTTTTTGTCACATTCCCAACATTCTTTGTTATCTCTGTTCCTGGCTTTTTCATAATTTGTGTTTTTTACGAATTTTCCGAATTTATTTTCATTTACTTTATTTCCCTCCTTTTCTTTGTTCGTATTTTCAGCTTGACTTTCCCTTTCTTATAACAATTGTAATTATTAGGTTGTTTGGAAAGTTCGTGCCGCAAAAGATAAGATTTAAATTTAATAAATGTACGATATACTAAAATTTAAATCTTCTGCGTTTCCATTTTCTTTCAAATCGGCACGAACTTTCCGGACCCAATATTTCCTTTCTTTTTTCCAAAATTAAAATTGTTTTCTTTTTGGTGGAAACTATTTTTTTAAATTAACTTAATTGCTTTCCTCCTCCTCAATTGCAATCTTTAATCCGATGTTACTCCTTCCATTTGAAATGCTCTTTTCACGAAGCCATTGAAAAGAGCGGAGACAAATTGTGCGCACGCGAATTTATCGCGAATTAAATCGGGATATGTTAGCCCATTCTGGATATGTGTGATGCTAGTCTCTCGATATCTAAACTCAAAGAGACGATAATTTGGCTTTCCCAAATTTCTCCTTTCTATTTGTGAATAGAAAGTAATTTTGTAAAAATTGCGAACTTCCGAAACGCATTTCTAATTTCGACTTCAAACCTTCGAACTGTAGATTCTCTAAATTTTCCATACTCTCTAACACTGCGCGTACTTTACTCCGTAAACATGATACCAAGAGCGGTCTTTGTCTCCTCTTCCCAACGATTTGCACAAGCGATGAGATTAAATTATGCGAAAAATTAACGTAAGGGCATAC